AACGTTTCGCGAACCGGGAAAAAACCGAAAAAACCGCGTCGACGTCGCCCGCCCAAAATTTCTAACGTCACGTGACCTCTTCCTTAAAACAATCGATCACCGCTTAATATAGTCGATAGCGCAGTTTCTGGCATGCTAACGCTATGCCAAATATTGTACGTTGATGTCTTTATTTAAAACCTCACGTAGCGCAGTTTCTAGCATGCCAACGCTATGCTAAATATTGTATGTTGATGTCTTTACTTAAAACCTCACATAGTGCAGTTGCTGGTATGCTAATGCAATGTTAATGATATACTTTGTCTCTATCTCTAATGATTTTTTATCCTTTATCATCTTTGATCTGTTATCTGGTATCTGACATCTGACATTATCTGTTGTGAGTTATCAGTTGTCAGTTAACATCTTCCATATAGCATTAAAAATACCTTCTATAAAATTGTATAACATACTCAGATTTATGTGAGGAGCCGGAAACGTCGCATCTGTCGTTGTTAATAACACAGATGGCGTTATAAAATATAGCATACAGCATTTATGTCCTCTACAAAAATTGTATAATAAACTCAGATTTAAGTGAGGAGCAGGCAACGTTGCATATATATCTGGCAATCAGGTGATGTGCCAAAAAAAAAAAAAGCGCTTGACTGCCATAAATCAATCGTGTTCGCCTATGGACAGCACGGGACTGACTGTTCTTTTTTCAGTGTAAATGCTTTTTGTTTTGTGATGTTAAGTCAATGTCATAGGTTTTTTCTAACCTAGAAAATACAACATAATGAAAAGAAAAATTATGTTCTGAAAGTTAATTCCCAAATGTCATTATATGAAAAGTATTGAGATTAAAACAAATCATAGTTATGCTATTTTTTCAAAAAACACTGGATAACATTATCCGTATCTACGTATGTGGAGGATCTGAAAACAACTGTAATTATGTGGTATTCACCACACCAAATTTGTTCTATTCTTTTATAATTTCTTAGAACATCAATATTTCTTTTAGTGCTAATATGCTTTGCGTTGAAAACAAAGCTGTCCATGTTCATATGGAAATTTCGTTTTTAAATTGACCAAGCATTCGATGGTTAAAGTATGTCTACATATTTTATTAACACCCATCATACGTAAACAATATAGATTTTAATAGTATAGTTATATTAAAGCATTATTAACAGTTATTCAACGTAAAAATTATACTGGTGCACATAACGAAGGTTATGTAATATAAACAAAATGCTGTTCTAACTTGGCGCCAAGTTATAACTGCAAAAAATGTAGAAAAGGCCTTCAGTTTGGAATTTTCCTTACTTTTCTTGTACAAAATTATCAATGGGCACATTGATTGCCCCCAACCATTAAGAATCACCCTGTAGTTCTCTGATTGTTCAGAAAGCTATGTTATAAAGATGTATTTTTATTGATTAGAAAAAAATTTCATACATTCTGCTGTTCCATCATTTTTATGAATTATCAGTTGATTTGTCCAGGCATTGTTTAGTTTACAAGACGTCTGAATGTTTGAAGTTCTTTTCAAATAATGATCTGAAACTTAATGTTCTCTTCCCAAAATAATAATATATCATAGTTTAGCAAAATATCTATATCAAGTTGCTGTTATACTGGAGTATTTAAAGTTCCGGTGGATTTACAAAAGAGAGCATAGCCCATCTGACACTGCCCTGTGGGCATCCATGTTATTGTTCAATAACATATGGCTTGGATGGCATTGAAATTATAGTCAGCTTTGCATATCAACCCTGCTGCTCTAAGAATGGATGATTTGAAATGAAGTGTGGAAACTGTTTTCGACAAAAAGCAGTATAAATCATCACTGGTTATTGAGTCATATAAAAACTTACAAATATTGTTTGCAAATCTCCTTCAGAGCTGTGCCTTTAGGTTAGATCACAAGTAATCTCCGAGCTTCTGATAATTCTCAGGATCTCAGGGGTTGACACCGGTGGCTAAACTCTTCTGTTCAAAAAGTTATACGGAGATTTCAACAGGTATGATCTTCAAATGTTACACTTCTCAAATGAGTAACTGCTGCATTTCTGATCTTCCTCAGCATTTCCAGAAGCCTATCTATTGACTGGAAACATCTTACCAATACTAAAGTTTTGATTTGGAGTTTGTCTTATAGTATTTACAAATATATTAGAACTGTGGGTATTTACATGTTTATACTTCGCAATTCTGAACAAAAGGCACATGTCTCAAATAATATAATAGGGACGTTATTCAATCAAAATGAAATGTTTATGTTAGAAGAAATGAAAATGGCTTGCGAAGTAAGGTTATTTTTGCAAAGCACACAGCTATAGGAAGCAATCTACTAGAAATTTGAATCTGACCAATCAGACAACGTCAGTTGTGAATAAGCGGCACATTTTTTGAGGGTACAACATGATTGTCATATTGTGCACCCACAACACTGCTTTGTTTCCCATTCGCTCATGAGTTTCATCCCTTTGTATAGCGCCATAAAGAAGCCTTCCGGAAATTTAAATCTGACCAATCAGACAATTTTTAGAAGGTGTGACATGGTTGTCATATTGTGCATCCATAGTAGTGCTTAGTTTCCCATTCGCTCATATGAGTTTCACCTCTTTGAGTATAAGGTTAAGTAACGTGTTTTGTGTATGCAACAAGACATACGCGTAACTGTAACGACTGTTGCAACCACTTGGCTGTTATAAATACACAGCTATATTTAATCTTGTAGACTTTTGGTCTCTTTAGAGTGGATTAAAATTAAGTGTCATGTAAAATTGTGGCACTAATTAGGGTTTACAATCATATTTAAGCCGATAATGACTTGTATAAACTCCTAAATTTCAAGTTGCCTAGTTGCGGGTAAACATTGAAACGTTGCCAAATCGTACTTGACTGTTATTACCATTATAGTCCGGTATGTTTAGAATATAGAGATTTTAAATCTATTCAAAAATATTTACTTTCACGCCTAAAAAAGGATAATACTTATCGGTATAATCCAATATTGGATGGAGTGATCGTCATAAAGCCGAAAATGGTACGTTTTAGATGTTTCGGTATCACGCGCTTGATGGAGTAATTTTAAAATATCTAAAATTTTCAATGGAAACGAATAATGATGAAAACAGTTGCAGATTTGAATCCGAGGTATGAGCTTTCTTATGTAAAAGCCGCCAAGTCCGTATCTTTGTTATCTTCGGAGAATATAGACTATAGACAGTGAAAATAGAAAAACCCTCTTTAATCTCCTACTATTCTCTATGTTTTAGGGCTGTGGTGTCAATCGTTTCTACAATTGTTATGACCTTATTAATTGTCATAAATCAAATCCAAGGGAATAACCACAATGTTTGTGTTATGTGCCGCGGTTATAATATGATTCAAGATGACGTCAGTTACACGAATCGCTTGAACGCATTGGTTTTAACCGCGGTTTTGTTGCAAGTTGTTTATTTTAGAAAAGCGCGTATATGATTTCTGATTATTTTTATTATCACTTAATAATTGGTGCTTTTTCGTTTACAACTGTATATGGAAAGTTTAAATAAGAAACCTGTCATAATATTCATGGGAGAAATGTTTTTTCAGATTTTTTTTTTTAATGATGGAACCATGGCTTTGAAGCTATGATCACTTTCAATTCTCTAAATTTTTCCGCGTGTCAAAGAAAACATTTATTGATTCAGCAGAAATGATGAAAAAAGAAATTAGCAAAAGCGTATACAGGTGGATATCATCTAGTCAGTTTATATGGCCATATTTTAATATTCTTGTGGTATATGGCTACACAGGATAGTTTGTTAAGCATAAGAACTACATTTAAAGTGCTCCCAACAATAATGAGTATAATTAATAAGGTGCTCCACTGTATGGTAAAACTGAAGTCAGCCTGTATCAATGTTCTCAAAAATGAAGCTGAAGTACAATAATAATATCCAATACTCGGCAAAATTCTAACTGGTCACATTTCAAATAATAATCAGAAATATAAAACTACTTTTAAGTTGGGTAAATACCACAATTTTGCGGTGATAACTATGACATATAACAGCTGATTCGTGACGTCACGGATCTTATAACCAAATTGATAATTACACTCGGTTGAACCGATCGGTAAATACCAATCCAAAATGGTAAATACCATTTCCATTTGGTTATCCGCTTGAATTTGATTATAGTTTGTACAGTTTTTCAGAAACGTTTCTGTTGTTCCGTGTCAGCGCTTTATTTTCAGGTTATGTTTTATTAGCCTGAAATTTCGTATCATTAAAATAAAACAACCTCACAATAGGACAGCCCTGGCAATGATATGGAACAGTAGAAATCTAATACATAAACCTTTTTGAAGGATAGAAAAGAGTATGAAAATGAAGGTTATAATAGCGTTTTACGAGACAATTGTAGGAACTATTGATGATAGCGCCCTTAATTGCCTAGTTGTTTTAGTGTGTTAATTAAATGCTATATACTGTATGTTACTTCTACCTTTCCCTATCCTTCTACCATTTTTTAATTCTATACGTTTAAAAGTATTTTCAAAAAGATCAGAACTTCTGAACGTCAAAGAATGAGGTTTGAGCAATTTTTACTTCTTTTTTTTTCACTATCAATGAATCGATTTCTAAAAATTATAAGGATTTTTCGTTCTTGGTATAGCAATACCTTGCTTAAAAGAAAATCATTTACTCTATAAGTTAGGTAGTGATTATTCACAAGAAATTTGTACGCCTTGAGGATAGTAAGTGTATCTTCTAGTGACACAATAAACACCAGAATCTGTTTTAGCAGATGGAAAATTTCTATTGTCAAAATAAATTTTAATAGCGGTACGATGTGATCTGAAATATTAATATTTCGTAAAATTGTGACTGTTGAAAACAATTTGACGAATTTTCTTTTAAGCTGAAAGTATATACAGTATAAGGGATAAGGAAATTAAACAAGTGATATTCAATTATATATTGATTTATTTTTGAAAAATTACAATTTATTAGATTTTACAGCTAACAATTAATATAAGAAAATTGGAAAAGTGATAATAAAGAATGATATATGTATTCATTGTAAAGTCTATTAGGTTTTATAACAATTGATATTTTTGAATGGCATTTTCTATCATCGTCGAAGTATAATTCGCTTAGGATCTAACATCAGCGTGAAGATATTAAATGCCTAAAAAAATTTATTAAATATAAAATTATATCTAGGAGTATATGTGTATTAAAATAACTTACATAAAAATTTTTGATTATCAGATTTTACTATGTTGATGTGATAATTTTGTAGTATTGTAGTTGTACATAGTAATAGTATAATAATGGGTACATATTATTTAGGTGGACTCTGTTTTTGCTTTATATAGTTATGTGTTCTACAATTTTAAATATACTGTAGAAAGAATCTGAAATGGCAAGATTATATAGTAAATTGCTAGTAAAGTGGCATTTCGTTTTTGTTTTTGGAAAAAAAAAATTACCTGACTGCCTTTAGTTTTCATTAAAGTTTGCTTTTAAAGTTATCCTTTATCTATAGTTTATTATCAATACAGCGGACAGGGACTGCGAGGAATATTGTTGATTTCTTTGTAGAGAGATCGTCCATAGTGGCGTGACAATTTCTACTTCTGAACAGGTTGCAAAGTAGAATTCACATCAACATTTTTCAACATTTATCATCATTAAACAGAAATAATTAAAACAGTGATCTGTAACTGATTAATGTTAGATGAAAAGGATTAATTTGCAGCTCTCAGCTAGTCCATGTTCGGACTACCCAGGACTCACCGCGCGGAGGTAGCTGCAAGTCGAGTCCCACCCTCCTTCCACCCGTCTTTCAGTTTCAATAAAATGATAAATACTTATTACAAAAAGAAAAAAAAATGAAACTGTAAGACGCACAAAAATTAAACGTAAAATCTGATTATTCAAAAATTGAAAACAAATACAAAACGACTATGAATAATATATATCTGAAAAAAAGGAAATCTAAATAAGTAAATAAATATTTAATTGAACAAATGGTAAATGGTTGTTGAATTAGGTGTTTTTATAATCCTTGCATACATTAAATTTGCTTCTTAATTTGTACCAAAAAAAAACCATTTACCAAAACTTTAATGTATCATCTAAGTTACTTCGCTCTCTTGTTTGTTATTTATTTCATTGATTTTTTTGTTTCCTTGTTCTATAATTTCAAGTATACTGAAAAAAATTGGTAACGGAAAATTGTATTTTCCATCTATTTTCGCAAAAAATGATTGCCAGTGTTTATTATTGTTTCTCATTAGACTATGTTTCCTAAGTTATTCTTCTTCCAGTATTCATATTGCAAAAATTATCTAGGTAGATCATATCCCTTTTTCATATGATTTCATTTTCCATCATGTCATCTGAAAAAAAAATTATAATGCAGGACTTTTTGTTAAAATGTCAGATTCTTAGAAATATTTAATATCTGTGTTTGTGAAAAAATATAGTTGATACCACTAAAATAATGTACATGAATGTTTTCAGAACAATATCTTATATCAAAGAAACTTACGTCAGATGTTTCAGACATTAGTATCCATTCTGTAATTGTATAGATATATGGTTTGCTATAATAATGCGTAAACACTATTTAAGTGGATTTTCTTTCTGTTGTGTCTTTTGTTTTGTAATTTTAATTTTACTGAAAGAGAAACCTGAAAATGGAGAAAATGCAGATGATATAGATTGCATTTTCCATCTGTTTTTGGAAAAACATGATTGATTGTCATCTTTTCCTATTATAGTTTGCTTCCAAGTTGTCTTTTTCTCAGCATTAATATTGCAGTTTATGGTTAAGTCGAGTTTTTCTTCTTTATAAGGTTTATTTTTCCAAGCTGTTTCTGTTACATTAGCATTATGGTAAATAGCAGACAACATATAATCCCAGATTTTTAGACCTTCCAAATGTGAGCGTTTCGTAATTTTTGTGATCTAATATTGGATGCTCATTAATCAAGTGGGGTTTTGCTTTTTCATATATTGTTTTGTTGTTTAGTATTTTAAATAACCTGAAAAATAGACCTAAAAATGGAAATATTGTTGATGATGTAATCTGCATTTTATATTGAAAAGTTTCTCGGACTATCTCCATCTGTTGTTGCAAACTATGCATCCTTTTTTCAGTATTGATATTGTAGTTTTTAGCTTGTAGGTTCATCGTTGATATTCCTTACATAGTTTATTTTTTCAACGATTCATCTAAAAAACGTAAATGGACATACATTTTTTGTCAACAAAACTGTTTATATCTTATAAATATGATATGGTTTTTGGTAAATAAGTCGTAGCTGATAGGATTAAAATGTACAATAAGATGTTCAGAAGAATATTTGTGAAAAATATTTTGTATAACTTACATAAAAGTCCTTATTTGACCCATTAGTATTGTATACACAGAATAGTATATGGTAACATGATTTTGCTTGTGAAATTATGGTTCCTCCACTACCATTTATGTTGTAATTTATAGTTAGATCAACCTTTTCTATTTCTTTATGTTATTTGCTTCTGTAGCGGTTGAGTACAATGGTCTTTGAAATATATCTACATTCCATATTGTATAATTTTAAGTAAACTGAAAAATAAAGCTAAAAATGGAAAGATTGTTGATGGTGTAATCTGCAGTTTGTATTGAAAAGTTTCTCGGACTATCTCCATCTGTTGTTGCAAACTATGCATCCTTTTTTCAGTATTAATATTGTAGTTTGTAGCTTGTAGGTTTATCGTTCATATTCCTTGCATAGTTTATTTTTTTAACGATTCATCTAAAAAAAGGGATTAAAATGTACAATAAGATGTTCAGAAGAATATTTGTGAAAAATATTTTGTATAACTTACATAAAAGTCCTTATTTGACCCATTAGTATTGTATACACAGAATAGTATATGGTAACATGATTTTGCTTGTGAAATTATGGTTCCTCCACTACCATTTATGTTGTAATTTATAGTTAGATCAACCTTTTCTATTTCTTTATGTTATTTGCTTCTGTAGCGGTTGAGTACAATGGTCTTTGAAATATATCTACATTCCATATTGTATAATTTTAAATAAACTGAAAAATAAAGCTAAAAATGGAAAGATTGTTGATGGTGTAATCTGCAGTTTGTATTGAAAAGTTTCTCGGACTATCTCCATCTGTTGTTGCAAACTATGCATCCTTTTTTCAGTATTAATATTGAAGTTTGTAGCTTGTAGGTTCATCGTTCATATTCCTTGCATAGTTTATTTTTTCAACGATTCATCTAAAAAAAGGGATTAAAATGTACAATAAGATGTTCAGAAGAATATTTGTGAAAATATTTTGTATAACTTACATAAAAGTCCTTATTTGACCCATTAGTATTGTATACACAGAATAGTATATGGTAACATGATTTTGCTTGTGAAATTATGGTTCCTCCACTACCATTTATGTTGTAATTTATAGTTAGATCAACCTTTTCTATTTCTTTATGTTATTTGCTTCTGTAGCGGTTGAGTACAATGGTCTTTGAAATATATCTACATTCCATATTGTATAATTTTAAATAAACTGAAAAATAAAGTTAAAAATGGAAAGATTGTTGATGGTGTAATCTGCAGTTTGTATTGAAAAGTTTCTTGGACTATCTCCATCTGTTGTTGCAAACTATGCATCCTTTTTCAGTATTAATATTGAAGTTTGTAGCTTGTAGGTTCATCGTTCATATTCCTTGCATAGTTTATTTTTTCAACGATTCATCTAAAAAAAGGGATTAAAATGTACAATAAGATGTTCAGAAGAATATTTGTGAAAATATTTTGTATAACTTACATAAAAGTCCTTATTTGACCCATTAGTATTGTATACACAGAATAGTATATGGTAACATGATTTTGCTTGTGAAATTATGGTTCCTCCACTACCATTTATGTTGTAATTTATAGTTAGATCAACCTTTTCTATTTCTTTATGTTATTTGCTTCTGTAGCGGTTGAGTACAATGGTCTTTGAAATATATCTACATTCCATATTGTATAATTTTAAATAAACTGAAAAATAAAGTTAAAAATGGAAAGATTGTTGATGGTGTAATCTGCAGTTTGTATTGAAAAGTTTCTTGGACTATCTCAATCTGTTGTTGCAAACTATGCATCCTTTTTTCAGTATTAATATTGTAGTTTGTAGCTTGTAGGTTCATCGTTCATATTCCTTGCATAGTTTATTTTTTCAACGATTCATCTAAAAAAAGGGATTAAAATGTACAATAAGATGTTCAGAAGAATATTTGTGAAAAATATTTTGTATAACTTACATAAAAGTCCTTATTTGACCCATTAGTATTGTATACACAGAATAGTATATGGTAACATGATTTTGCTTGTGAAATTATGGTTCCTCCACTACCATTTATGTTGTAATTTATAGTTAGATCAACCTTTTCTATTTCTTTATGTTATTTGCTTCTGTAGCGGTTGAGTACAATGGTCTTTGAAATATATCTACATTCCATATTGTATAATTTTAAATAAACTGAAAAATAAAGCTAAAAATGGAAAGATTGTTGATGGTCTAATCTGCAGTTTGTATTGAAAAGTTTCTCGGACTATCTCCATCTGTTGTTGCAAACTATGCATCCTTTTTTCAGTATTAATATTGTAGTTTGTAGCTTGTAGGTTCATCGTTCATATTCCTTGCATAGTTTATTTTTTTAACGATTCATCTAAAAAAAGGGATTAAAATGTACAATAAGATGTTCAGAAGAATATTTGTGAAAAATATTTTGTATAACTTACATAAAAGTCCTTATTTGACCCATTAGTATTGTAGTAAGTATGAATACACAGAATAGCATATGGTAACATGATTTTGCTTGTGAAATTATGGTTCCTCCACTACCATTTATGTTGTACTTTATAGTTAGATCAACCTTTTCTATTTCCTTATGTTATTTGCATTTGTAGCGCTTGAGTACAATGGTCTTTGAAATATATCTACATTCCATATTGTATATTTGTCCAAGAAAGAATTTCTTATTATTTCTCTTCATTTTACTGGATTATGCTGCTTTGCAATAGCTCATTATATACTACGTTAACAGTGTAAGAGTGATTATTTGGAGTTTCAGCTACATGTTGACGGTCACCTATATTTATCATTTGAATCTTGAGGTTTTCAAAACTTCTTGCTCTTGATAGTGCAACATACAGTTGTCCGTGATCAAATACTGTTACTGGTAAAAATAAGCCGACACTGTTCAAAGTTTGACCTTGACTTTTATTAATTGTCATTGCAAAAGCCAGACGTACAGGGAATTGTCTCCTTTTCAAGTTGACTGGTAGATCAAGAGAATTTAGAGCGATATTATCAACTCTGGAAATAAATTCGATCGAAGGTTCATTATTAGATTCTTCCACTCGTTTCGCTTCTATAAAATTTTCGTGTAAATTATGAATCAATAAACGTGTGCCGTTACATAAGCCTCTCTTCACATCTAAATTCTTCGTTAAAATGATAACTGCGCCAATCTTTAGTGTAAGTATGTGGGGAGGAAGTCCTGGAGCATCCAAAGAATTTAAAAAGTCTTGCGGCCATGCGGAATCTAAATCATCAGCAGCATTTTCGGTTGTATCGTCTTCTCGGATAATACTATCGACACTTAGGTATTGCCGTGACCTACCTGGCAGTTTTCTAAAACAACTGAATTGATATCCTTGACATGAATGTTTAGTGGAGACAAAATCGCTTTTTGTAATAATGTGAAATCGTGTTCAGTTAAATTACTACCGTATATGCTTTCAGTAACATCTTCTACAATGATACGATTAGGAATTTTAACTATAGTGTCTCTGCTATTTTCTAAGCGACGTAAAATTTCGGAATTATTTCCTATGGTCATCAGCCAATCTTTGAATTCGTTTTCTTGTGGCAATGCTCTAACGTTCGTAACAAGATCGTACTGAACAAAGTATTGCCATAGTTGGGAACATTTCACTGATGCAGAAATAGTTTCATTTTTGCCTGCCAACGGAACGATAGGTGCGCATTGCCTGAAATCACCTAGAATTATGATAATCTTGCCGCCAAATGGAATGTCATTGTTCATTATTTCTCTTGTCTTTCTATCTATCTCATTGAATATACTTTTATGTACCATAGATATTTCATCAATGACAATAATTTTTGAATATCTAATATTATCAGCAATCGTACTCTGATTGCGAATCCTCGACGTTGAATTTTCTAGAAATGGAACCGGTAACATAAAAGAAGAATGAATCGTTTGGCCATTT